GTCGCCGTCCTCCCTTCTCCTCCTCCCTCCCCCCCCGTAACTACCTCACCTGGACCCCTGTTGCCTGGCCGGCCGCCACTAGCGCATCACCATGGTCCGTCCCGCCCGATTTGCCGGCGCTTGTTGACATTCTGTCACTGACTCCTGGGCTCGCCCCTTCACTCTCGCCACTCCTCCCTGGCCGCCCGCGCGCAGTCCAAGCCCGACGCCGACATCCACATCACCCTGGACGACCAGAAGAACCTGTCCAAGTTCAACCAGCTGCACACCCAGCGCAAGGCCGTCCGCGAGGAGCTCCGTGAGAAGCGCGTGCGTTGACACCACCACCCCGGCCGCGACAGGGCGCGCGCGCGCAGGACAGACAGCGGAGCGAGGGCGGCCTCCCGCCTTTCCCGTGTCCCTCGCTGGCCGCGATCGCGCGCGCGCGTTCACACCCCCGCATTCACATCATGCCGCCGGCCTGCCACTGAACGTCCCCCTTTCCTGCCCCCCTCCCCCTCGCCCTTGTTCGTATGCCCTGCGGCTCGGTGCCGGGAATATGCCCACAGGACCTCGCCCGCGACCTGGAGGAGGCCTCCAACGAGATGCTCCTCGCCGACGAGGACAAGCCCATCTAGTACGCCCCCGGCATTTGTGGATGACGCCCGGCCGCGCGAGCCCTGTCTGTCGCATGGTTATTTTGGCTGACTGACATCTGTCTCTCGCGACCGCCGGCGTCGCTGCCATGACTCCCCCCCCCCCCCAGCTATGCCTTTGGCTCCGGCTTCGCGGCCCTCCCCCTGGAGACTGCCACCCAGCTGATCGAGGTCTCGGCCGAGCTGGCCACCAAGCGCGTGGACGAGCTGGCCGACAAGAACACCGAGCTGACCAGCACCCTGTCCACCCTGCGCTCGGAGATCTACGCTCGCCTGGGCCAGTCGGTCAACCTCGACGAGGATGAGGACGACAACGACGAGTAAATGGGGTCCGGCAGGCCGGCCACGCAACGGGGGTGGCGGCGGTGGCGGCGGTGGCGGCGGTGGCGGCGGTGCACGCGCTCGCATGCGGTGCGCCCACCGCCCCCCCCCCCCCCCTTTCGTCTCCTCCACAGCCTCCTCCCCCGGTCCCCACCCATATGCTGGACGGGGCCGGCTCTCCCACCCCCCTTGTGACGACACACATCATGCCACCCTGGGGCGCCACCGTTCTGGAGCAGAATGCGCCTCCCTCACTCCATCACCAGTCATAAAGAAGAACACATCCTCCGGCGCCGCGTGCTCGAGAGAGGGGGGGGGGGGGGGACCGGGGCGCGGGAGGAAGGGGGAAAACAAGGGATCCTTGGACGAGGGAATATATTGCGCCGAGGGGGAGGCGGGGGGGGGACCAGAGGGTCGGATTGTTGCTGGGCAGACCGGTCCTCCCATCGCAGGGGGAACGTGCACACAAGAGAAAGGAGGGGGGTGCCGGCGTCTCGCGGCGGGGAAGGAATGGCATGCAGCGAGAGAGAGAGAGAGAGAGAGAGAGAAAGAGAGGGAGGGGGATATTCACAAGGACGAAAGGGAGGGAGGGGGGGGGGGGGAATCACTCGGGCAGGGGCATGCGGCAGCGTGACGACCGTCGGAGGGGCGAGGCGGCAACCGCTGTCGGGGTGACCGACTGCCGAGGCGCCAGTGCCGACGGGGCCGGCGGGGTAGTGGCGGCGGCGGCAGCGGCGGCGGCGACAGCGGCAACGTGGCAGCGCGAGCGCTTCGCTGGCCGGGAGGGGGAGGACGGCATCAGCGGCCGTGGTGGCCCCTGCTGCTGCGGGCCTGGCGCCCCCCCAGGAGGGGACACCGGCCCAGTGGACTTGTCCAATGGGACCGGCGGGGGGGTGCTGGCTTCCTCCTCAGCGCCGGGGGACTGGAAGCGTGCACTGCGCCGACGGAAGGCCGAAACGGGCGTCGGCAGGCGGAAAGACCGCCGGGGGGTGGCACGAATGGGCGTCACCACAGCGGTGGCCTCGAGCTGGGCCGACCCCGGGAGGGGGAGGAGCTCCTGCTGAGACACCGCCGGGGGGGTGGGGGACAGCCGGGCCGCGGCCTCTGTCATGGCCGCCGCCGGGGGCTGGGAGTCGTCCTCGGCGCTCGCCACGGGCCCGGCTTCGGGTGGCGCAGTGCTTTCGGGGGCTGACGAAGAGGCCGCGCCCTCAAGTGGTGTCGGAGAAGCCGCGCTCTCGGGTGGTGTCGGAGAGGCCGCGCTCTCGGGTGGTGTCGGAGAAGCCGCGCTCTCAACCGCTAGGGAAGTCACGGCCTCAGCCGCCGGGGAAGCCGCACCATCGACCGCCGAAGGGACATTGGGCTCGGTCTGGCCGGTGGAGGACGCGCGCAGGCGCGAGGAAAAGCGCCGCGCTACGGCCACCGGCCGGGGAGAGCGTGGGCGCGCCTTGTGCGAGCGCCGCGTGTCGGGCACGCGGTCGCCGGCGTCCCCCGGCGCTGCCGCCGCCGCCGCCGGCCGGGCCCCGCCACGACGGCTGCTGCCGCCACGCCCGCGGTCCGGCCGCTGGGTCGGCGGACGCGGGGCCGAGGGGCGCCGCGCGGGCGAGGCCGCCACCTCCGGCACCCCGGGCACCGGGGCACTCGGGTCATAATTGAACCGGAACAACTGCCGGCGGTCGCTGATTTCCAGCTGCCGGAGGGCCTCATGCCGGGCGGCGTACGCCTCGTCATCGGTGTCCTCATCCGAGGGGTCGGCCCCGAGCAGGTGCTCGGGCGAGTGGCCCGGCACGTCCCACCGCCAGTCGGCCGGCAGGGCCCGCCACTTGGGCACATGCACCACGGCCGCCCGGCGGATGGCCACCATCTCGGCGGCCAGACGCGCGGCATTCTCCATGTCCCCACGAAGACCGCCGATCATCGGCAGGTCCCCGGTGAAGGCCCGCAAGCTGGCGGACGGCCGCCGCCGGGGCAGCCGCTTGGTGGCCGCCCAGGGGGACGGGGCACCGCCGGCGCCCCCGCGATCGCCAGCCGAGCCCGGGGTGTCCGGCGGGGCCGGCGACGACCGGGCACTGCTCCCGGGCGAGGGGGACCGCGATGCCAGACCGGAGGAGGGCGAGCCCCCGGCGGCCGGCGATGGCGACGAGGACCTGCCCGGCAGCAGGGACCCGCGCCGGCCACGGCGATCGCGCGATGCGCCCCCGGCCCACCGCTTGGACTTGTTGGCCGCCGCCGCCATGACCGCCGGGCTGGGGACCAGCTCCACGGTGGGCGACCCGCCGCCGGACGCGGTCTCCGCCGCGTGCGAAAACTTGATCCGAAGGACCCCATGATGCTGCGGCGGGGTGGCGGGGCCCGAGCCGGGGAGGTCGGCCTTCGGGGCGGTCGACGGCAGGGGGGACTGCAGGCGCCGGCGCTTGGACGGCCGCGCGGCCCCCTTCAAGGCCGGGGACCCGGGGCCGCCATCGGCCGCCGATGGCCGGGGCTCCTCGGCGAGCCCCTTCGCGGGGGGCTTCGCCTCGGCTGCCTCGGCCATGTCCGCCGACGATGACGACGATGACGACGACGACGACGACGACGACGACGACGACGACGCCGGCTCGGGCTTTGGCGCCACCAGCGTCCGAAGCAGGGATGTGATTTCGACGCGGCGCTTGCGAGGCAGCGGCCCCAGCTGCAGGAAGAGCGACTCGTCCACCGGCGAGAGGACCGCATGCCGCAGGTGCCGCCGGGCCCCCATGCTCACGACCAGCGATCGCCGGTTGACCCCGGGCCCGGGGTCGGGGACCAGCACTCGGGCAAGCACCCGCTGTGCCCCCTGGCCGGGGGACAGAATCACGTCGAGCGATGGCAAATGCCCGACGCCCGGCGAGGAGGGGGCGGCATCGGCGAGGGCCAGCAAGCGGGTGCCCCCCGCGGGCAGGCCCGCACTCGTCGGCGGAGGGGCTGGCCGCGAAGCGGGACAGGACCCGGGAGCTGGTCCGGGCCCAGGGGCTGGAGCAGCCCCGGGGGGATCATCTGAAGTATCACCAGGAGCGGGGGCACTCTTGGGAGGGGGCCTGGCCATGGATGTAGCCCCGAGAGGTGGCGCATGCTCGAGGGTGGGAACATCCTTGGCGGCAGGGGCGTCCTGGTCGAGTGACGCGGCTTGGCTGGGTGGCGCGGCTTGGTCGAGTGGTGTGCTCTCGCCGGCGAGATATGCGCCCTCGGTGACGGATGCACCCTCGGTGACGGATGCACCCTCGGTGACGGATGCACCCTCGGCGACCGGCGCGTCTCCCCCAACAGCCGGGGGGAGGGAGGCGGAGGAGGCGGCAGGCCCGATGCCGCCGCCGGCGGCCGTCAGGAGGCAGGCAACCAGCTCAGCGAGGCTCCCATCGCCGGGATCCCGGCCCAGGAGCACCGCATCGCGGGTGACCGACCGCCGGAGGATGTCAGCCACCAGACTGGACACGGCCGGGGCGAGGTCCGGCGCGGAGAGGGGGGCCTCGGCAGCGCGACGAGCCGCCAGCGCATGCAGCGCCGCGACCGGGCCGCACACACCGCAAACACAAGGGGCCTCGGGGGCCGGGCCGCCCAGATGGTCCTGCAGCAGCCTGCGGATGGAGGCGGCGATTTGCACCCGGGCAAGGGCCGTCAAGCGGACGCGCTCTTCCAGCTCCCGCCGACGGAGGGCCGCCCAGCGGTGACGCCAGCCATTCGAAGTGGGCCCGGTCGGGGGGGAGCCGCCAGCCCGCGCGCGCGCCTTGCCCGCGCCATGCGCAGGCGGCCACCGGTCCCCGGTGCTGGTGGCCGCACTCGGCGACCATGCAGGGAGACCCGGCGCCGAAGGGGGGACCCCCTTCACCGGTGCCCGGCCGGCCGCCACCCGGGCAGCCGAAGACCCCTCCTCGGCTCCGGGGGTCCCGCCAAAGAGGAAGTCCGCCCAGGCGCCGGACGAGGGCCGGGCAACCGGGCCCGCCGCCGGCCCAGGGGCATCCGGGGCCCGGAGGGCCGGCCGCCCGGCAGACCCGACGGCCGAGTCCGACGCTGGCGGCCCCGGCCCCGGGCGGCCGGATGACAGGGCGTTGCGCGCATGGCCGACCAGCCGAACCGGCAGGAAGGGAAGCAGCCCGTCCTGGATGCGCGCATGATCCAGCGGCCCGAGGGAGGAGGCCGCCGCGCCTGTGGCAAAGACGGCCAAGTGCTGGGCGGACTTCGGGGCGGCCGGGGATGCCGGGGCCGGCGGTGGGGGCGTCGGCGATGGGGCCGGCAGCGAGGGCGTCGACGTCAAGGACAGGGGGGCCGGGCCAGCGCGCCGGCGCCGGGCGGGACCGGCACCGGGCTCGGCATCCGGCGCGAGCGAGGCACGACCGCCCCGGCGCCGGGGCCCCGGCACCGGAGCATGCTGCAACCCGAAGGAGGAGATCGCCGAGTCGGCGGCCGTCGTGAAGGCACTCCCGGCGGCGGAGGCCGCATGGTGATAGGCCGCTGCTGGCGGCAGGCCGCCCGCGCGCGGGCCGGCCGTGATGGTGGTCGCCATGGCCGCCGCCGCCGCCGCCGCCGCCGCCGCCGCCGCCGCCGCCGCCGCCGATGGGGGCGATGGCGGGAGGCTCGATGGGGAGAGCGGCTGCGCGGCACCGGCAGCCGAAGGGTCTGCCGCGGCGGAGGGACCGGGCCCCGGGAAGGGGGGGTTCCCGAGACCCGGCAGACCGGACAGCTTGCGGTGGTGCGACGAGAGGCTCGGGTCGCCCGGGCCCGGGGCCACGCCGAAGGCATGGCGCGAAGGCACGCCCACACCAAGCTCGAGGGGGGCGGCCGAAGAGCCGGGCCGGGCGGCGTCGGGCCCTGGGGCCGGGGCCGCCGCCGTCGGCATGGGGCCCCCCGGCGTGGAGGCCGGCCGAGCCAGCACCCCGGCCAGGTAGGGCGACATGGGGAGGGGGCCGGCCCCGGCCCCGGGGCTGGCGGTGGCGGTGACGTCGCCGCCGCCGCCGCCGCTGCTGCTGCCAAGGCCGAAGCCCCCGTTGGAAGCGGCCGCGGCGGCGGCGGCGGCGGCGGCGGCGGCGGCCGGCCCAAACAGCCCGCCCGGCGACAGGAAGGGCGAATAGAGGCCGCCGTAGGGGCTTGTCAGGATGGACGCGGCCAGGGCGGTCGCCATGGTGGCAGTGTGGCCGCCCGCTTGCAGCGCCGCCGACAGGGTCGTCAGCGCCGCCGTGTAGGAGTTAAGCGCCGCCGTGGAGAAGAGATCGCCGGCGGTCCCGGAGCCGGGGCCCATCAGCGGGTAGCCCGGCGCAATGGCCGCCGCCCCACCGCCGCCGCCGCCGCCGCCGCCGCCGCCCAAAGGGGGAAAGAGCAGCGCGGCATCCGGCACCAGGGCCGAGGCCGCATGCGGCATGGGGCTCTCGGCGCCGGCCGGGCCGCCGGTGACCGATGAGGCCGATCCCACCAGGGACCCGGAGGAGGAGGAGGAGGAGGAGGAAGAGGAGGCCCCGGAGCAGGCCGCCGACGAGGAGGAGGCCGAGATGGGCGGCGAAAAGGGGAAGCCCGCGGCCGCCGGGGGCTCGGCTCCGGCCGGGGGCTTCGGGTCGCCGGGCAGCGAGGGGTGCGGAGCGGCGGCCGCCGCGGCCGCCGCCGCGGCTGCGGCTGCCGTCGTCGTGGACAGGAACCCCGGGCCGCTTGGGCCGGCCAGGGACAGGCCAAAGAGGCTGCCAAGCCCCCCGAGGCCGAAGTAGGGAGGGTAGGCCGAGACGGCGGCGGCCGCGGCCGCGGCTGCCGCGGCCGCCGCGGCGGCCGTGCCAGCAGCCGGCGGTGGCGGCGCCACGCCCGCCCCGTACGGATACATGTACGCGTAGGGGTATGCAGCACTTGAAGGGGGCGGCGGCGGTGGCGGCAGCGAGGACATGGGTGCGGGCGCACCCGCGGCGAGGGATGCCCCGCTCGGTGCGGGACGTGGGGACGGCGGGGCCGCCTTCTCCGAGGAGGGAGTGGCGGCCGCGGCCGACCGGCGAGTGTCTGGCCTCTGGCCGATCGAGCCCGGGCCGGGGAGCGCGTCGCCGGCCGGCTGGTCGACGGGATCGGGGATGGCCTCGGGGCCGGGGGCCGCGCCTGCCATGTCCGGCATCGGGGCCTCGGGGGGTGGCGGCGCGTCGCCAGCAAGGCCTGGGGGAAGGAAGTAGTAGGGGCTGGCCAGCATGGCGCGGCGGCCGGGCGGCGGGGTGCTCAGAGGCCCGCGGTCCGGCACATGGGGCCCGTCACCGGGGGCGGCGGCGGCGGCGGGGCGAGCAGCCGGCCAAGTCGGGCACGCGGGAGGCGGCGACACGGGCGGCAGCGCGAACAGCGGCGACAGTGGCCGGCTGGTGGGCGGG